TTGTAGGTTGAGTCTGAACACGATGCCTCTCTCGATTGCATCATTCAGTTTAGTCATTCCTGCATTGCTTCGAGGGTCTGCTTTCATCGGAAGCAAATCTTTCTTGATACCAACACGGACACACACGAACACACACACACACTTGCGTACTGGTGTAGCACATTACTTCTTTTTGTGAAGTATATATAGTCCTATATATTCGTAGGAATATTAATATTAAAGATTCCTTATATTATCTTTACCCAACTACATCCTTTGATCTTGGGAACATCCAATTGTCCCTTGATTGATCTTGGGAACATCCAATTGTCCCTTGAACGAATGCTATTTTTAAAATCAGAGATTACATTAATAATTTTAAAAACATACTAATGGATCCTTTATCTATGTATGTGGTGAGGATTGGTTGTGTGTATGTGTATATGTGTGCATGTGAGTAAAATATGCAAAAAATGGAGATCATGGGGAAAGAGATTGCCAAAAGTGTGGCAACAGAGTTTCTCAAAATCTCTCTCCCAATGTAAAATGTATAATATAATAGTAGACAGAAAAGAATGGTACAGTGGGTGGACAGCAGATTGGTGGTCAGCCATCAATCGCCATAATCCACAAAGAATCCCCATTCATCTTCTTCGGTGATGCTCTCGTCAACACTGCCTGTATGCAGGATTCCGACATGTGAGACAGGACTGCTACTACTACTATTCGTATTCGTAGTCGGAGTCCCACAAAGAAAGGAGGCGGTTGTAGAAGAAGTGGCTGTAGTACTCCAGGAAGAAGTAGATCTTGTGTTCTGGGATTGAGTGCTGCTTTTGTTGGTAGTCATTAGCACTTTTGCAGAACTGGAAGGATAGGACACGCTGGAGGAACAGCAGGACTTGGTAGTTTCGAAGTGAATGACAATTTCATCGGTAGGTCTCGCCGTAGAGGAAACAGTCTTTCGGGATGGCTGCTGTTGCGGTAAAAGTTTTCGACTGAGAAAACTGGGCATTATCCGGTAACAGTAGGTTGCGAACCAGTGGGAGTTATTTGAATTTGAACAATGTCTTGTTTGGTGTTCTATCACTTGGTGTTGTCTGTCGCTTGGCTTAATTGTTCTCAAAAGAAGCAAACGAATCCTAGCCAAGGACCAATTGACGAACCAACCAAGCAACCTTGTGCTTCTGCTCTTGTTGGTGGCCCCCATCGTGACGATACAAAAAGAATTCTGTTACCCCGGAGTTGCGTTATTGGGAAGGGCACTATGACATGGCATGTGGCAGCATTCGATCAGACAAACTAACAAAGAAAAAAGAAGACACAGGTCTTGTCAGAGGTGTCACGGCGAAATTTCGCCGAGTGGCGGATGGTTCGCATTTAGGTGATGTGTAGCATTGGAGAATGTGATCACCTCGACGACACGTACGAGGTACGCACCGCCATGCCAAGACTACCATACTATAGTATGCTGCACTGCCAAGTACCGAATGTGCTTGCTTCACGTGTTCTCAGCTACAGTATCGCTATCGAACAATTGCCAGACTACAACAAGAACTATTTAGGTTCTATTCATGCTACATCATTCACAAGTTTGCTGAGAAGTATGATGATGTCTCGGTGATATTGGCGCGGCCGCTTGCTGAGAGGATCTATAGTCTCTTTCACTACCTCCCATGCCTTGTCATTTCTTTAAAGGGAATTTCGCATCTTTTCCGAATTGCTTTAGCACAGCGTTATACTGGAGGGTGGAGATGTACCCGCACAACAGCTCATACCATAATTTGCCAACATTCCATGTTCCCCATTTTCAGAGAGTGTGGCGACTTGTTCATTGCCAGTCGACCCAAGCAGAGGAATGAATCGGGAACACAAGCCGGCGATCGAGACCAAAAGATATCTTGACATGGGCCATAGGAAAAGGAAATGGGAAAGGTACTCTAGCCTCTGTCTTGGCAGGTCAAAGGATCCCATTGGGGAACCGACGACCCAAGAACATGCTTGAAAGACCTTCGGATGAATCTCTGCTTCGGTACACATACACATGCTGTATACTGTATCTTTCGTTATCACCACCAACCCAAAATAAAAGGCTTGCTTCGCTTCCGCTTCCTTGCTACCATCTGCAAGTCGCCAGTCTCCAGTCGCCAGTAGCCGTTGCCTGTTTTGTATCGCAATTGGGCACGTTGGGAAAGAAAGATTATGTGTTTGCCATTCCGGAGAGGAAGCACAATAGTTCATCCTTCGACTTGATCTTGATATTCACTTGCTTCACACTTGTGCTCTCCAGTAGTCGTGGAAGATACGCAGGAAATCGTGCTACGTCCATTTTATGATGAGCATTTGCAGCCGGTAAAAACATCTGAGCATGCCAACACAACCATTGAAACCTGCCCTTGCATATTCTTCGGAGCACCTTCGAACGTCATCCAGATTATATGCTGTACAGAGCTGTTGAACCTCAATGAAGATAAACATGGAGAAAACGTCGGTGGGTTTCTTCTGCAGTTGATGTTGATCCCTCAAGATCATCCAATGGGCTGGCTTTTCATTCCTCTAGGTGCTTGAGGTGGGACTAGTCGGGTCAACATAGTTTATCAGCCTTGTTGGAGGGCCGTAGGGTTGGGCATTGCTGGAATGAATCCGTTCGTTGACAAAAATGTTCCCGATTTGCCGCCTCCAACGGATTGCGAATTTGAGGCTTCTTTATCCTTGGCTTCAGTACCAGGTACAGGTTGTTAGGGTCTGTACGTTTGTACATATTTTCCATACTGCAGTGACTGGCGGAACGTACCGGTACCCCATATACGGTAACGTCTGTATGTCCTCTCACTGTATAAACATACTTTATCGTGGGTAGAATCACTGGATATTGTTTGATGTTTCATCCCAAAGACAATAAAATAATGCAGTGTATTTCACTCCAAGAACGCTGATGAGAGGAGCCCTGGAGGAAGCACGATGCCTCCATCGGTACCAGCTATTGTGCACGGTGACAGGACCTTGGGGCATATCCTCTTTGATTCCTCTTCGAGCTACATCAAGAGGAAGAAGAAGTTCTTCCCAAAGTAGGCGATGATTCTGGCAAGGGCCTACATGCATGGCACATCCTTCAACGCCCTGCCCCGGCAATGAGACGGCGATGAAAATCATGAGATGAAGTAACAATGCCCAGGCATATCTTGGAAAGACCTAAAATAGTTTGATAGAAATCATGATGATTGTGATGTTTTTCTATTTTTTGTGGTTTGGGCATGAAGTAGTGCACGAGGCCCTCCATCATTGGTTGCCATGTAGGATTCCAAAATACACCAAAACGGCTGTCGACCCGATACTTCTAGGAGAGAATACGCCGGCTAGAAGGGGGAAATAGATATTTTGGTAATCGTCCTCGGGGTTGCTTCTATAGGAAGGGCCGACATGGACCATAAAAAAAACTGCTAGTTACGTTTATAGTAAATGGTTTACAATCAATTGATATGCTACATTATACTATAGAGTCCTTCGGCTATGAAGGCATTCATTCTAGGAGCAACAAAACTCAAACAACGGTATGATTGCCGCTCCAGCACATCCCTGCTTATTGTCGTGACAGAAGCCGCTACTAGTGTTCTGTCCTCAGTCCAATTCTGGATTTATGACCAGAAGCTTTCTTTCCATCTCTTCTGGGTATCTCTGCTGGGTCCAATGGGAGGCGAGATGTCAAACATTCATCGGTTTGACAACATACCCGCAATCTTGACCATCAGCAATAAGTGCCTGCTGCAGTGATCTTCTCAGCAGAAACGACAGACATCGAATCAAATTATCGATAACCCCATGGACCAGCCAGCGCAGAACAGTGTTGATTGTTGATTTAGGTGATGAAGAAGTGGTGTCGAATCTGGAAGATATGCCATTCAGTATGTTCTTCACAAAAGAGCGCCAACATAATACGCCTTGCGGTCCTTTGTCCTCATTATGGCGCCAGACTACAATGGACTGGTTGCTCTGTAGTGCCCAGGATGCGGAGACCTCATCCAGATACGTCCAGTGGCTGATATGTGTGACAATAACACAAGAGGATTCCAGCCATATCAAACGCCACCACCAAGAGTGGGCAAATGTGAATGTGCTGGAAGCAAAGGTGAATCGGTGGCATTTGAAGAATCGGGAGCGCACAGTTGCAAGTCTATTGGTATCCCCGTCCATGGAAAGTGTTGCTTTCAGAGAGGGTGGTTTGACGAAAGCGATGCAGATGTCACCAGTCCAACCCGTACAGGTTTTGCAGGAGCCATGTTTGGGAAAATTCGGCACGGAGTCCGAGATGTTGCCATCTAAAACTTACATTTACATCGGCACCTTTGCTCTTCTTTCATTTCCTTTCATTTGTCTCGTTTGTTTTGTATCCATCGACGGTGATGTTTTCGTTTGTTGTGGGCAATCTGGTGTCTTTTGAGGTACGTGTATTTTCCAATACTCTTCTCAACCAGGCCAGTATTCTGGTCCTACGCGAAAACAGTACGATTTCTACGTGCCAGAATTGAGCCTGACTTGAAATCGCATCGTTATATCAAGGGAACCGGAGAGGTATATACTTTTCCGCAAGCCTGTACGGTATTTTGTCGGATTAGTATTTATTGGGAGCGAGCTCAGAAACTGCAACTGCCAAAAGTGACTTCGACATTCTTACCTTACCAGGTACAGCAAGACAATAAGCACTATAGAAAGTCCCGTCCTACGAGTAGAAAATCTTGATACCATAAACCGCCAATTGGCTTCGTTTAATGAACAAATCAAAATTCGGACAACGAATTGACATCAACATATATGAAACAGTCATTCTTTGAACTTGGAAGACTGCTTAGAAATTGCCTAGAAAAGAGTTTCTATCACAACGTACATGCAATTGTACGGTACAGTGTACCGGCCCTTGTAGAATCTATCATTCAATGGTCACAAGCAAGCACTACGACATTTCACACCCCTAAAAAACACACACATACACGCACACACAGTCAACAGTCAACAGTACACTGAAAAAGATGCAAGACGCAGATGAAACCAAACAAGAGAGCAGAAGACCAGAAAGTTCTCGTCACAGTGAAAGAGGCAAACAAAGAAAGTCTAGCAGTCGTCGCCTTCCCTCTGATCGAGATGAGACAAAGCCCAGTCGTCGCCGTTCCTCTGATCGCGATGAGGCAAAGACCAGTCGTCGCCGTTCCTCTGATCGAAAGGAGGTAAAGCCGAGTCGTCGCCGTTCTGCCGATCGAGATGAGACAAAGCCGAGCCGTCGCCCTTCCGCTGATCGAGATGAGGCTGATCAAGAGAGAAAAGGGCGAGAGGTGTCTCGTGACGTTGTCGAAGCAAACAAAGAAAGTAAATCCTCCTCTCGAGAAAAGGCTGATCGTGAGGCCAAAAGTAGAGCTCGCAAGCCCTCGTCCACTGCTTCTAAATCTCCTTCCAAATCTCGCGAGCAGATGGACCGAGATACCAAACGCGAAGCCAAAGCTTCGAGAAGCCGGTCGGTAGATTCTAACGAGTCGCTGTCAGAATCAGCAAGAGACCGGGACAGCAAGGCAAAATATCGTGTTCGGCCCAACACAAAAGCATCTGCCCCCGGTGTCGTCCAAGAATACAACAACGACGAAGGCGACCGGAGCAGACGAAACAAGGAGAGTTGCTCGTCGTCGAGGCACACGAGAGCTGGAGCGGTTCCATCATCTTCGTCGGCGTCAAGGAGAATGCGAGAGAAAATGGATTCTGACTCGAAACCAAAAGAACCAGAGATTTCGCTCAAGCCGGAACCTGAAACGACTACTCTGGCAGGTAGCCTAGTAGAAGGCGACGATGCAATCGTTGCTACGGCAGTCGACGAAGAAGAAGTAGTTCAATCTAAGGAAGCACCGCCAATAGTACCACCAACAACAAGACCAGAAGAGGAACCCATCATGACTAGTCCACCAACCAAACCGTTCTATTGCAAGGGTGCATTCTGGATTGCAGTTCTGTTCATACTTGCAGGTGCCGGAGTGGGCATCTTCTTTGCGACACAGTCGAAAAATGAGACTGCGATACCTGCCAACGGTGTAGCAGTTGGGCCAACTCCAGAAGAAACGAAGACACCAACAACATCTCCTTCATTTCTTCCATCCGCATTTCCGTCTAGCTCGCCAACAGAAACCTTGATATACGAACCTCCGTCTGAAGAAGACTGTGTTGCGGTGTCGAATGGAGATGACTTGGTTGGTCAAGAGGACCTCAACTTGCAGACTTTTAATATCCCAATGGATGTGGTGCTCTCCACTCCCGTGGACTCCGAGATTGTGCGTGGTGCACTGCAAGAGAAAATGCAAGAAATGCTCATGCCCGAACTGATTGGCTGCGCTTCCGCCAGTCGTCGTGTACGAGGACGCCAGCTAGTGTCTTCCCCTTACACAGTTGCAAATGGCAAAGTTCTGGTACAGAGCAGACCAGACACACCTTGCACCAGAAACACTGAGTCGAACTGTGTCCACGTATCGGTAGAACTTGACACGTACGTCCGGGGGTCAGAGCGACCTTTTGATTTGGTCAGTCTAATCCTTCAAGTCTTGGGACCAGAAGATCTCTTGACAAGCAAGTTGTCACTGCAACCGCCTTTTGTGCAGATATTTATTGTGACGGTTGCCTCTGGAACCATTACGTTGGCGCCAAGCTCGATTCCTACGGTGATGTTCAGCGAGAATCCGACCTTGTTTCCCACGGAATCTCCATCAACAGATCCAACCACTGCCCCAGTGACCTTTCCCACCACTGAGGAACCAACTGGATCGCCGACAGTTGCACCAATTGTACTAGCAACGCCAGAACCAACTATTCTGCCGACTCCTGTGCCCACGACTCCCAGTCCATCGTTTGCTCCGGTTGTAGACGCAACGCCACTTCCAACACCAACACCCACTTTTGGCCCAACAGAAGGGCCAACACCAAGCCCATCCAAGACGTCTTCTGTATCACCTTCCATTGCGCAATCAGGAATGCCATCCTCAAGTCCATCTATAGCTCTATCTACAGCTCCATCTACAACTCCGCCAACCTTTGGGCCGACCAGTGAACCCACGGAGGTTGCATCGAATGGTCCTACTTTGGCACCCAGTTCCAATCCGTCCGTCAACGAACCATTTGGAAACCAATTCACTTCTTCCACCTATGTTTTGTACCACACGAACGATTTCTCCGACCCCTATGAATTTGACACCCGCGAAGCTGCCGCAGCAGGCTGTGCCGCGATTGGACTGGATCTTTGCCCAAAGATCGCCATTGAAAATGGCGACATTTGCGCTGCAGGGTGGATGACGGATGCAGTAGGATATTGGATTTCCAACCCTAGACCAGGGTGCCGTACTACTCCCGGCTTTGCAGAGTGGGTGGACCGCGAGTTTGCCGGCGCGTACTGCTGCGGGCGACCGTTGTACTTGCCTCGAGATTTCTCGTACATTTACGATACACGGGAAGAGGCTAGAGCTGCTTGTGCAGAAGAAGGATTGGTCCTTTGTACGCCTCAACAAATTGTCGGAGGAAGTACTTGCGCATTTGGCTGGTTAGACACACTTTGGGGGCTGTACAATGATGGTACCGTCCCAAGTGGTTGTGGATCATCTCTCGGTTTGAATGTGTGGGACAATGATGGAACAGCAGGTGCCTATTGCTGCGCTTCCAATGAGTAGGCATTCTCAGACGCAGAGTGTACTGCCTCCGAAAACAGATAGAACTGACAGGAGCACTTAAATTCTGTCAAGAGTTTTCCAGATGAAGCATTGTCATAAAGGGCAAATATTGGCATAATGTTGATAAAAAGTGCAGTACCTTCAGTAGTCAAGTCTTCTTCATCATGTGACAAGTCAAACACCATGAAAATTGAAGTCCAGCAATCTTTATATGGAAACATGCTGTAGTTAAACTGTCAATGAACGACATGCATGAGAGTATTCACAGTCGCTCATGCTGCAGTGATAGCAGAAAGAAGAAGGAGAGGGGAAAGATAATAGTAATTAATGATAAAGACTAAAGATATTTCAATTTGTTCAATCTATTCGATATATCAATTGGTCTGTCTTTTTATGTCGTGGTCGTTCCCTGCTATCCTCGTTGAATCAATAAATGAATGGATCCCATAGGAAGGGACACCATCCATGGTGTTTCATGCTCCGTTTTTTTGCAAAGTGCCATCTCCACTGACTCCTCCATCATCACCACCACTATACATCTATCGGAATTAGAACAACAAATCATCCATTCATTCTCATTGTTTACATCATGCCATAATGGCACTTATCATTGCTGTTGGGTGAGAAGTTGGTTGGCGGCTTGGTAATTTGCATTGTGCTTGTTGGAAGAATGCTTTTAAGAGTGTCCACGTTTTAGTGTCGGCGGCTCTGGCATTCCAATCTTGGCAGTCCTGGTTGAAATGTTTGGTGGCGCGGATGTGACGGACAGCGATGGTCATGAGGTTGTTGTCAGTGACCTCCTCGCCTCCTTGGGCAGCAAATGTCTGATAGTCTTGGAGTCGTTTGAAATATGTGGTGAGTTCTTCATCAATGGAATATTTCTGTCTTTCTATGGATAGGCGTCGCTCCTCAATAGCTTCAGGTGTGACATTGCTGGATGGTTGCTGGTAGAGATGGGCAAAGATGTTGGGGATACTGATCGGCAATAGGTTGAGATATGGATGCCGGATTTTGTCCAGGTATTCGTTGGGGACCGCGTTGTCAATGAGCTTTTTGAGTGCTAGGGACACATTATGTTGGGTCTGGAAGAGGTTGCACCATTGTTTGTATTGGTCTCAGAGATTGTGTTCGGTAAGTCTGTTGGTGTTTGGTGGGACAGTGAATGTGGGTGCTGGTGGAATCGGATTGACCCATGCGGCGGTGGGGGAAATGAGGGCATAGTCTGGTGCAGTCATTGTTAGGCCCACATGACCCAGTTGGCCTCCTCTGTTTGGTGAGGAGACTTTGGTGGCATTGCGGAAATTTGCAATGTCCAGTGCGTTGACCTCTTTGTATGTTGGTGGATTTCCCGAGGCATTCCTCAACAGTGAGTGCAGGCGTAGAATCAGCCATGGTAGCTGTGGTGTGTGTTCTGGAGTTACTAGCGTGTATTGATTGGATAGATCAAGCAATAAGAATAATAAATGGAGATACACTAGGATAAGGAGCATGCTAGTCAACTTATGCGTCCTTGTCTCTATTTGCGATTGTTGTTGTCGTTGCAGACCGACTGAGGATTTGAATTGGTATGCTTTGTAACGGTAATTTGGGAGTGCTTGAATCTTGAGTGGATGTTGGAATCAATAGATTTGTCTGGAGGATACGATTCTTCAGGAGGAGGATACATTTCATTTTGTTCATATGATTGAATAAATTGGCCTTGGACAAAGTATTGATCATTTTGTTCTTGTTCTGGCTGATCTTCAGCATGTTGCTCTATGGCAGAACGCCAGGCATTTTGCCTGGGTCCTCTACTGGGACAGTTCCATCCGGAACCAAGCATCCTGCTTCTTGATTAATGATGATTTTGAAAACCTCTTTGCTGAGAGTTTCCTGGAGGTCTATTGTTTGGAGCTTGATTCCCAAAACGATGCTGTTTTGGTTGTTGCCATTTGGTCTTCCTTGATAGTTGTTTGTACGTCTTGGTGGAGAACAATTTCCACCGTTCTGCTGTCCTTGATTCTGGTAGCTAGGATAAGGCTGAATAGAGCCAAGTTGTCTATTGCCATAGCAAGAGTTTCCATTTGCTTGACCGCCACGATTAGCAGAACGATGAATATTGTCAGGTTCATCCAGCTTTTGAGATGTTCCTGGATGATAAAAACAAAGAAGTTTGAATCGCCAAACGTCTAACGTAGACGGAAGAAAGCGGTCGAACCAATGGACTCAATAGTGACTCCATGAACGACGGTAGGGCGACCGTCATCTCAGTATTGCACCAGCAACCTAAGTCCGATCTACACATATTGAACTTGTGTGCAAGTATACTGACAGAAAGATAGAGTTATTTCTTTTGAGTCGCACGCTTCGCGCGCAACTCAAAAGGACCAGCTTCACACCACAACCCACCAGAGTCACTCCAAGAAAACACCAAGCAGAAGAACCCGAAAAGAAGGCGCCAGTTGGCTATCTTCGATAGTGTTCAGAAACATCAGTTTTCATAGAAGCAAACTTATCGAAGCACGCGGATTTGCAGCATGCAGAATCCACCTCCGGGTACCCCTACAGAAATGAAGAAAGCAGACATGAAGAAAGGAGATTATTGTGAATTCATCGCAAACAAAGTACAAGAATATCAAATCGCAAAAGCAAACGGAACGCTAGCAACAATGGTAAGTTGGAATCTTATTGCAATTGAACTGGAAAGCCAATCCAATCTAACATCATTCTGCATCCTACTGTGTCGTTCACAGAACAACTGTACCAACGATTGCGACTAAAAAGTGCAACATTATTAGATCAATCAAGTGCCTACTCTGTGAACCAATGCACTCAATTCTAGACATGCAAAATGGTAGTCTTACCAGAGAAGAGCTGAATAACCAGAAGAAAACTGGGCAAACCTTCTATGAACAGCTCATACGATCTTTCCCAATTCAAAAAATCCGCTTATCTAGACATCATCTACAATGACCCCCTGGATACTATTTGTGGCACGTACCAGTGGGAGGACATAAAGACAAAGGTCAATCAAATGATCAAAGCCTACAAGAATACTTTTGCTTCTTGCAAAAGAAGTGGCAATCACAAAGAATACGCAGAAAAGCTTGCGGAAGGGTCGTCTGTTCAGGCAGCCAAATTGGCAAGCCAATTCAAAGAATATGATAACTTTGCCAAAAACTCCAAGTGGCTCATGTATCTTCATCGAAAGATAGAGACCTATGGTCAGACCTCTTGGGGAAACTGTGCAGTAAGTTACAATTTTTTAGAGGCCCTTCCACTTCAGTTACGATCAATCTCACCCCCTGCTTCATCTTCTTCTATTATTTCCGCTCATATAGGTCAAATCCCAGAAGAACTCTTCCGCGAATCAACAACAAGTGGCTCCACAGCAATGCCTCCTCAATACCAACAGTCAAATGGTAAAAGAGGTACCCAGAAGCGAGGAGCTCCTAGTCGTTCCAATGACACTGCGATCGCATTCACTCCTCCACCAGAAGTACTAGAGTTAGCTGCAACTCACAGTGCACTCCTTGAGAGGAATATGACACGCCAAGACAAATGAGACCGCATTGAAATGGAGCAAAAGGCAGTGGGAGTCATGCTGAAGCAGAAGGAATACAAGGAAGATCTTATTGCTGATCCAAGATAAACGTCCATTGACTCTATTGACACCATCAAGGCCAAAGTCAATGATGCCAAGGGTTTCAAAAGCTTCAAAAAGAAAAAGAAGGCAGATCCAGATCACACGGATCCACAATTTCCTGATGGAAAACATTTCGAGTCTCAAGAGTTGGTTGTTCAAACGTGCCTTTCATTCCAAAGTATGTATGAAAAATGTGTGATTTTTGGCTCAGACTCCGACTCTGACTTCTAGTAGTCAATTTCAATAACCATTGTTGGGGAGTAGACAGTAGTATTATTTGAATTGCTAAACATCTTACTATTTTAATTGTTGTTTCTTGACCGATTCTTATCTGGACGTTCTAGTTCCAAATCCTGGATATAGTCCAAAATGGAATTGTGCCTGCTTAAATTGGTGTAGATGACTGATGTTTCATCCTCCATTCCATCCATTAAGTCGTCCATTCCTTCATCCTGTTGATTATTCTGAGGAGGCCTTTCAGCAAGTTGTTCTGGATCTTCATGGTTGGGTAGAAAACCAAGATTGTTGGGAGACCGAGGATCTGAAAATTGTTCAATTCCACCCATGGTTCTAAGTTGATCAGTGGTCTCTGTCCCTTCTAGACTTCCTAGATCTTCAATTTCTTGCTGGTCAATCACAAAATTGTGACGGTGCAAAGCGACATTGCAAATGCGGATATTCTTTTCCAGGTAGAAGTTTAAATTGCTGCAAAAGAAACGCCATTTTGTTGTCAAGCGACCAAAGGCCATTTCGATTTGAATACAAAGCTGTGATAGAAAGAAATTGAGGGTTCTTTTGTCTTTGTCAAATCTGTCTGGACAACTAGACTATCGAAAAGCGGATAAGCATTGTCGCCGCCAATAAAACACTCCTTTGGTAAATCTGTGATCCACTGCAGAAGCTCTTCACAACGTTTAAATGCTCTGGCATCGCCAGTTGATCCTGGAGCAGCCACAGTGAAGTAAATGATCAAAGCTTTGCATTGCAAATTGCTTGGATATTCAGACCATGACGGTGGTAGTGACCGTTGAAATAATCTGCTTGGTTACCATCAAGATCTCGCCCTTTGCTTGGCTTGTCAGTGCATGCCAACCATCCATCAATGGCACCAATAAAACCCCATAAAGCCCCAGTACCAGTTGATAAGTTATTCCATTCTTCCATTGCCTTCTTAAGTTCTTCTTTGGTTGTTAGAAGGCGTAATTCCAGTTCTTTGCATGCCTCTACAGCATGAAGGAACATATCAATGACTCTTATTGCTGAAGGCCTGCTTATTACAAAATTATCAGCAAGCGACTTGGCTGGTTCTCTAGACATGAACCTGAGGCCAATTGAGACAATCACTTCTGGGGATATTGCATTCTGTGCCCCTGTAGAGAACATCGCATGTGTGTTGCTCATTGTATGGCTTGGACATAGGAGTTCCACCAATACATTGAAAGCTTTTTCTGACATGCGATTGTAGGCTTTGAACTTGTTTTTGTAAATCTTTGCTGCCTTATGCTTGTTCCAATCAACACGATTGTGTACCCATTTTGCTTTTTGTCTTCTACGTTTCTTCCTCATGTGAGCTTCTAACAACGCATTGTCTGGAATCGTATACATGCCAAAGCCAAACAAAGCATCCTGAGAGCTCATGGGCATATCAATCATATCCATGCTGCCGGATGCCTCACTGTAATCTCCCACATCTCCGACAGATGGCGGCCAATCTTTTGCTTCACTGTCATCTCCGACTGATGGCAGCCAATTGTTTGCTTTTGGCAACCAATCTTGGAACATGACTATGCCCAAATAAACGATGGTATCAAATGAAAAGTATGAAAATACCGTTTCACATTCCATATCACCATGTTGAATTTATAAATTAGTATACGAGTAATGAGCCGTTTGACCTATGCGACTACTGCAATGCATGCAGGCCAAATATTTGAATTTCGTATTATCAAAACGGAAACACGCATGCATTTTGCAGCAAAAAAATCAAAATGCAATGCACGCTGCACACTTTCAAGGGGTTTCGATAATATTGCTTCATAGTCTTTCTGACTGCCGTAGATTGAGGAATGAGCTTGCGTTGTTCCTTGGAGATTTGCCAGGTGACACCCTGGCCCATCACATAAAAACGTCAGTATGCGCCAGCCGAATACTTCTTCAATTGCCAGCCAGGATCTGTCACGGAGGCAACCAGATCATGAAACCAAACCGCCCGCGCAAAGCGGGCGTTACGGAATTCTAAATTCTTTCAACTATTTTGCGGTTAACCCTTTCCTGATCAGAGGCTGATTTGAGGCTGATTTTATAAAAGACGTAGGATATGTACCATGCTCCACATGAAAACAAATATTTTGTCAATATCGCCAAAATTTCCCAATATATTAGTTGATCCAGATCGCTGATGTGAAGGCATTGTCGATAATCGGACAAAGGCCCATCCCTAAATACAGTAGATAAAGAAGCACTTTCCTATGTGGAATTATGTTGTTGGACCAATTCCACATCTACGATCTTATGTTTCCCACAGTCAATACTTGTGTAGGACTGTGTAGGACTAGTAACAGGAAAAAATTAAGAAAGGCCTTTTGTGAAAAGTCGAAATCTCATAGCGCCTTCTGACAACGATTTCCACCTACGGAGGCTTGTTGTACCCTTTCTATGATATAAAAGAGTTTCCGCTATGCGTTCAGTTCTTTGGTGGCCATATTTGGTAAAGAGCATTTAGAGATTGTACTTGTGGTCAATGGAGTCGATTTTACGTAGATTTTGTACGGTATCCACGTGTTTTGGTTTTGTGCAGCTAGCTCAGGAAACAGTTAATAAACTGCGAGTTGAAAAATTTGCGGTAAATTTAGCAGCGAATTCAAAAATTGCGATAAATTTAGTAGCGAATTCTAAATTCGCGGTTAAATTCAACCGCAAATTGCGTGATGTAGAATCACTCTCATTTCTTCCTCCATACAACGATACCATGCAATAGAATGGTTTGTTCCTCAATCACAGGGTTTCTTCCTATGTTTGGATTGGGAAAGCTGTCCTCTTGAGAGCCTCTAGAGAGAGGAAAGGCAGCTGTTCCAATAGTGAAAATGCAAGTGTAGTAAATAATCTTCTATAGCATCATTACTATGTTATAGATCTATGATTCTTCCCCTTGACTTTGAGAGCGTGCAAGTACTTTCCTGTTCTAATCTCCTGGTAGTTGCATTTCCTGAAAACATTCAAAGAAAACTCCTTGCAATACTGTTTTTGTTAAGAATGGCATAGATCTTGTTATCTCACTGGAGGCTTATCTTTTCCATCCTCGTCCATGGCTTGATGCAGAAGCTTCTGGGCATCCGATGGTTGTCAATGTATATTTTGTAGTAGCTTTGAAAGGATGTTACTGGATAGTTGTTGACGAACTGCTTGACATGAGCCTAGTGGTCCTTGACAACTCTGCTGATCTTCTGGTTTTCTTGCTTCTGCAGCGCTCTCAGTCTATCAGCAAAATATTCGGAACCACATTGTTCGACTTCCTATTTTTCTTGCCGCTCATGTCACACACCTTCTTCAAGATGACTTTTGTAGTCAACTTTTCAGCATCGAGTGGAATGGGCAACTCCAGGAGCGGTGTACAAGAGATCCCACAGAATTTCTTTTGCCCTTCTGATTTTTTGTCCCATCGCTTCAAGATAGTGTTTGCCTTTTTGTAACTTCTGAGCCTGGTAGCAAGCTTCTTGGGATCCCACTTTTCCGATCTCCCTTCGTACCTGGTAGACTTCTTGCCCATTTCGCAAATCACTTTCAAGATGACTTTTGGGATCATTTTGTTCCCTTCATCGTCTACTTGTTTCCTTCATCACCTAAGGCTTCTCGATCGGGCGACGGATCCCCAGTAATTCCTGGATGATTTGTTTTGCCCTGCTGGTCCTCCAGGGCGTCTCAGGCTCCACAAACACCATTGATGGATTTGTTTGGTATTGTTGCCGAATTTTTAGAATATATCATTTCGCGGTTAACGCAACAGCGCTTTTTGAATTCGCGGTTATAGGCAATTCGCGATTAAATAGCCGCGAATTTTTCAATTCGCGGTTGAATAGCAGCGAATTTTTCAGTTCGCGGTTTAAAATGTTAGATTGTTCGCGGATAGACCGATCATTGCGGGTGGCACCACCATGTGTCCAACACGACCCGTTCGATTTCAAGGAGGCTTGACCAGCTCGCAAAGGAATGTCCTGGCAGGCGCGCCACTACGTTTTTTACGTGATGGGCCTGGTAATAAAAGTGTCAACGGAATTCTTAAATTACGCGACCGAATTACTTGGCGCGTTGTTCGATATGATTTGCCACTCATGGAGGGCATTGCCGCCAAGATGGTGTTCAAAGAGAGCGAACTTGAGAGCACCAACGGCATTAGTATTGCCTGTGAGACTCCAATGTTTGCAGAGGTTCGTGAAGGAGAGAAACATTGTGCAAAAGGACTCAAGATTCTTGGTCTTGCCAAGCGGAACCATTGCTTTTCGTTCACGATCAGCACCATCTTCACCAGGAAGGTAGAATACAATCTCATGGAGAATGCCTTTGCCTTGTTGAACGTAGGAAAATGGCGAGTTTGTCTCAAAAGAAGTCATAGTGCTGTATCTTCACTTCTTTTATTGAAGTTCAAAGAAACTGAAACAAAGTCAGATGCGTAGCAAATGATGCAATAGTAGTTTACTGTAACTCTGCAGAGTATATCTCTTCAGTTAAAGCCTTTGGCTATTCGAATAGTAACCCAACCTTCACAGAAGAGTCTTATTGAAAATTATAGATGACTTTAGAAAGGCACAGAAAGTGCTTACGTAAGACCTAAGGTCTAATATAGTTCCCAACCGAAGGAGCTTCTAGAGTCCCAATATCTTGGGCCTGCTCTGTGGGCCGTTTCATGTCCATCATAATGTACATGCAAGAGTACGGTACCAGGTACAGTGTACCGGCCCTTGTAGAATCTATCATTCAATGGTCACAAGCGGGCATTCACCCCGATTAAAAAAAACACACACATACACGCACACACAGTCAACAGTCAACAGTACACTGAAAAAGATGCAAGACGCAGATGAAACCAAACAAGAGAGCAGAAGACCAGAAAGTTCTCGTCACAGTGAAAGAGGCAAACAAAGAAAGTCTAGCAGTCGTCGCCTTCCCTCTGATCGAGATGAGACAAAGCCCAGTCGTCGCCGTTCCTCTGATCGCGATGAGGCAAAGACCAGTCGTCGCCGTTCCTCTGATCGAAAGGAGGTAAAGCCGAGTCGTCGCCGTTCTGCCGATCGAGATGAGACAAAGCCGAGCCGTCGCCCTTCCGCTGATCGAGATGAGGCTGATCAAGAGAGAAAAGGGCGAGAGGTGTCTCGTGACGTTGTCGAAGCAAACAAAGAAAGTAAATCCTCCTCTCGAGAAAAGGCTGATCGTGAGGCCAAAAGTAGAGCTCGCAAGCCCTCGTCCACTGCTTCTAAATCTCCTTCCAAATCTCGCGAGCAGATGGACCGAGATACCAAACGCGAAGCCAAAGCTTCGAGAAGCCGGTCGGTAGATTCTAACGAGTCGCTGTCAGAATCAGCAAGAGACCGGGACAGCAAGGCAAAATATCGTGTTCGGCCCAACACAAAAGCATCTGCCCCCGGTGTCGTCCAAGAATACAACAACGACGAAGGCGACCGGAGCAGACGAAACAAGGAGAGTTGCTCGTCGTCGAGGCACACGAGAGCTGGAGCGGTTCCATCATCTTCGTCGGCGTCAAGGAGAATGCGAGAGAAAATGGATTCTGACTCGAAACCAAAAGAACCAGAGATTTCGCTCAAGCCGGAACCTGAAACGACTACTCTGGCAGGTAGCCTAGTAGAAGGCGACGATGCAATCGTTGCTACGGCAGTCGACGAAGAAGAAGTAGTTCAATCTAAGGAAGCACCGCCAATAGTACCACCAACAACAAGACCAGAAGAGGAACCCATCATGACTAGTCCACCAACCAAACCGTTCTATTGCAAGGGTGCATTCTGGATTGCAGTTCTGTTCATACTTGCAGGTGCCGGAGTGGGCATCTTCTTTGCGACACAGTCGAAAAATGAGACTGCGATACCTGCCAACGGTGTAGCAGTTGGGCCAACTCCAGAAGAAACGAAGACACCAACAACATCTCCTTCATTTCTTCCATCCGCATTTCCGTCTAGCTCGCCAACAGAAACCTTGATATACGAACCTCCGTCTGAAGAAGACTGTGTTGCGGTGTCGAATGGAGATGACTTGGTTGGTCAAGAGGACCTCAACTTGCAGATTTTTAATATCCCAATGGATGTGGTGCTCTCCACTCCAGTGGACTCCGAGATTGTGCGTGGTGCACTGCAAGAGAGAATGCAAGAAATGCTCATGCCCGAACTGATTGGCTGCGCTTCCGCCAGTCGTCGTGTACGAGGACGCCAGCCAGTGTCTTCCCCTTACACAGTTGCAAATGGCAAAGTTCTGGTACAGAGCAGACCAGACACACCTTGCACCAGAAACACTGAGTCGAACTGTGTCCACGTATCGGTAAAACTCGACACGTACGTCCGGGGGTCAGAGCGACCTTTTGATTTGGTCAGTCTAATCCTTCAAGTCTTGGGACCAGAAGATCTCTTGACAAGCAAGTTGTCACTGCAACCGCCTTTTGTGCAGATATTTATTGTGACGGTTGCCTCTGGAACCATTACGTTGGCGCCAAGCTCGACTCCTACGGCGATGTTTAGCGAGAATCCGACCTTGTTTCCCACGGAATCTCCATCAACAGATCCAACCACTGCCCCAGTGACCTTTCCCACCACTGAGGAACCAACTGGATCGCCGACAGATGCACCAAGTGTACTAGCAACGCCAGAACCAACTATTCTACCGACTCCTGTGCCCACGACTCCCAGTCCAACGTTTGCTCCGGTTGTAGACGCAACGCCACTTCCAACACCAACACCCACTTTTGGCCCGACAGAAGGGCCAACACCAAGTCCATCCAAGACGTCCTCTGTATCACCTTCCATTGCGCAATCAGGAATGCCATCCTCAAGTCCATCTGTTGCTGAATCCATAGCTCCATCTACAACTCCGCCAACCTTTGGACCGACCAGTGAACCCACGGAGGTTGCATCGAATGGTCCTACTTTGGCACCCAGTTCCAACCCTTCCGTCAACGAACCATTTGGAAACCAATTCACTTCTTCCACCTATGTTTTGTACCACACGAACGATTTCTCCGACCCCTATGAATTTGACACCCGCGAAGCTGCCGCAGCAGGCTGTGCCGCGATTGGACTGGATCTTTGCCCAAAGATCGCCATTGAAAATGGCGACATTTGCGCTGCAGGGTGGATGACGGATGCAGTAGGATATTGGATTTCCAACCCTAGACCAGGGTGCCGTACTACTCCCGGCTTTGTAGAGTGGGTGGACCGCGAGTTTGCCGGAGCGTACTGCTGCGGGCGACCGTTGTACTTGCCTCGAGATTTCTCGTACATTTACGATACACGGGAAGAGGCTAGAGCTGCTTGTGCAGACGAAGGATTGGTCCTCTGTACGCCTCAGCAAATCGAGGGAGCAGACTACTGTGCATATGGCTGGCTAGATACCCTTTGGGGACTTTGGAGTAGCGGTAGCAACCCGGTTGGTTGTGGACCTCGTGGTTTGAATGTTGGGGACAATGATGGAACAGCAGGTGCCTATTGTTGCGCTTCCAATCAGTAGCGTCATTCCCAAACAGAGTATATTACCTCCGAAAAGAGAAAGAATAGACAAAGGCGCATCATTTAAATTCCGTCAGGAGTCTTCCAAATGAAGCATTTCCATGTAGGGCAAATATTTGCAGAACATTGATAAAAAGTACAGTACCTTCAGTAGTCCTACTGTAATCGTATCGTCCTACATATTTATTGAACATTCTGTCTATCTGCTTACAGAAGACCATCATTATTGTCCTTCACGTTGTTGATCAAACGAAAGAAGACAACCAGCGTCAAGTGTCAAGATGAAAGATTCACTACCGGTATATAGACACGGATGGTGTGTGATGTGCAGCATTGGAGAATGTATCGCCAAGAAAGTGCTGGGATTTGGAGGATTATGGCGAAGAAAAAAAAACATTAGGCTAGAACCTTTACCGTAGCCTAGAATGTACTTTGCATATGCCTTTTGAGCAATTATAGGTCTGAAGGAGGTGATAGAGGGCCTCAACTACACCAACCAACATCTCGTAACGGCAAAAATAAAAATCAGCTGTTAGATACTTTGACTGAATCGGCTCATGTGATTAACAAGAAAAAAATCTAGAGAGAGGCAAGAGGCCGATCTCGTACCATCAGACCTTGTTGCGGTTACATTCTTAGATAAATTTCACTGCAATAGCTTAATTATATGTATTTGCTAGGGCTTCGTCCACTCTGAATAGAGATACTCGTATAGAATCGATAATATTCAAGGCCATCCACAAAGTCAAATGAAAAATACTAGAGGAAAGGATTTAAAAATTTATGCTAGCCTAGAATCTCTTTTCCGCCACAGCACTCCAAACCACCGCCCAAATTCGATTACTATTTATTGACCAACTTTGAACTTGGTGCCATCGTGTCAGGGTATCGACTCGGCTACTATTCCAGCCACAATCTTTAATGAACGTGGATTGATCCCCAAGCAGTGTGAGTGCTATTCAATAACCTTTACCTCTAGAAAACGCCAACTCCAAAGCCTCTAATCTTCTCATACATACCCATGGACGACAAATATAGCACCAAACACTGGAATTTCAATATCTCAGCAAGTATTCCAAACAAGACACAACCGAATGGATCTCTGAGTAAGTGTGATCACTGCGGAGCTTTGCAGCGCATGTTGAATGTGAGGCCTTTGCCCCCTTTACTTTCTGACGACCAGGTTCTGTAACCCAACAGAACCAGTCGAACAAAACAGGGTAGATTGTAGTGTAATTATGAATCTCCGCTCCAGCCATAGAATATCTACCAAATACGCTTGCCACAACATGCTCGGCAGTTTTTACTTCTCTGGGCGCCCACACCACCGGTTTGTCCAAACGGGGGGAACAATGCCATCATTGTTCCTTGATGTGCTCCAAATCGTCAATTTTGGTCGTTGGACGAGTTTCCATGTAGATCTTGTCTTGATGGTGATGTTAGATATGAGTCGCATTCGGCAAATACGTCTTCTCAACCAACAGAAACAATCACGGTGGATTATTGTGTGATCGCGGCCCAGCAAAAAATATTCAACATCATTACCGTCGCTCCCGACGTAATATAGGTATTAACTATGCTTGCCACAACCTCTGATTCCACTTTCTCCTCTCATGGGGTTCCAGGCCGTGCAATTTCATTTTGACCGATGAATTTGCAACTCAATACTGGTCTCGGTCGAAAATCGTCCTGTAGGAACCCAGATAATGAATATTAAATGGTGTCATTGCTTTTAGTATAATATAAGAGAAGCAACTTCCACAGAAAATTCCAGCTCTATGTTGCCTTGGGACTTCGTGGAAGTCCCGAAACCTCTTCAAAAGTAGTTTTCAGACCTTGTTGGGGATCTTTAGCAGCGATTTCAGAGGTGAAAGGGGCAAATGTAT